GGTAGATGATCTTGGGGGAGGGGTGGCATGGCTGGATTTTGGGGAGGAAAGAACCCCTGCAGAGCTTCCTGAGCCAGCCTTAGGGAAGCAAAACCTCTGAGATTTGGGGGGGTTCTCTTTCAGGCTACGAGCACCAGCAGGAGAAGGAGAAGCTGGAGCGGGAGGTGTCCCTGCTGCGCAGTGCCAACGAGGACCAGCGGCGGCGGGCAGAGCTGCTGGAGCAGGCGCTGGGCAGTGCCCAGGCGCGGGCGGCCAAGGCCGAGGCCGAGCTCCGGAAGAAACGAGCCTACGTGGAGAAGGTGGAGCGGCTGCAGGCAGCCCTGGGGCAGCTCCAGGCCGCCTGTGAGAAGCGGGAGCAGCTGGAGCTGCGGCTCCGCACCCGCCTGGAGCAGGAGCTGAAGATGCTGCGGGCTCAGCAGGTGGGTGCTGGTGACCTACGGTGGGAGCCGGCGAGGCAAGGGCGGGTGCTGCGTCCTCCCAGCACCTCCTCACCCTCATTTTGGGCTGTTTTTTGGGCTGCTGCAGAGGCAGGCAGGCGCCGCGGGTGGGGGGACGCCGGAGCTGAGCGCCCACATGCTGTCAGAGCAGCTGAGGGAGAAGGAGGAGAAGATCCTGGCGCTGGAGGCCGACATGACCAAGTGGGAGCAGAAGTACCTGGAGGAGTGCACCATGAGGCAGTTCGCCATGGACGCCGCGGCCACGGCGGCCGCCCAGCGGGACACCACCCTCATCAGCCACTCCCCGCGGCATTCCCCCAACAGCAGCTTCAATGAGGACCTTCTCCTGGCCAGCCACAAGCACCAGGAGATGGAGAACAGGTACTCCCATCTCGCTGGAGGAGTTTTGCCCCCATCAAGCTCGTGCTGTGGTCTGGTCGGGTGGTGCTGCGTCCTCCTCTCCCCATCCGGCTCCTCTCCCAGCTTCTGCCTGTTCTCCTCTCCAGGTTAAAAGCCCTCCATGCCCAAATTCTGGAGAAGGATGCTGTTATCAAGGTCCTGCAGCAGCGCTCGCGGAGGGACCCCAGCAAAGCCCTGCAGGGCTCCCTGCGGCCGGCCAAATCCGTGCCCTCCATCTTCGCCGCCTCGGCCACCCCGAGCTGGCCAGGGGCTGGCCAGAGCGACCGCTCCGCCGAGGGCAGCTCCCGGGGCAGCACAGGTAAATATGGACACCTGCCTGCCAGCAGTTCCCCCTGCGGTTTTGGAATCGTAGAGCTTGGGGAGGGGGGATTTCTCCAGGAGCAGCCAGAGGAGCCAGCAATTGTAGAATTGTAGAATCATGGAATGATTTGGGTTGGAAGGGACCTTAAAGCTCATCTCGTTCCACCCCTCTGCCATGAGTAGGGACACTTTCCACTAGACCAGGTTGCTCCAAGCCCTGTCCAACCTGGCCTTGGACACTTGAATCCCTTGCCTTGAATCCCTAATGGTGTCTCCTCCAGCAGGCAAAGCCAGTGCCGAAGGAGCGGGAGCTCCTGCTGCCCTTCCCTTGCCCTCCCACTCCAAGCATGGCAGCAAGGATGGCAGCACACAGACAGACGGGGCTGGGAGCAGCAGCCAGGGCGAGGGCACCGGAGTGCTGGGTAAGTCTCCCTGGATGACATGAGATGGGGACTTGGGATGCTCCAGCACAGGGCTTAGAGTTCCCAAGATGGGCTCTGCCCGAGTGTTGGTGATTTTTTAAGGCATTTTAAAGGCCCTAGTTGAGTTGGGGAAGGCTGTGGATGTGGTCTATCTAGACTTTAGCAAGGCCTTTGACACTGTCTCCCATAATATACTCCTGGAAAAGCTGGTAGCCCATGGCTTGGACAAGTGTACCCTCTCCTGGATTAGGAGCTGGCTGGAGGGTCAGGCCCAGAGAGTGCTGGTGAATGGAGCTGCATCCAGCTGGCGGCCGGTCACCAGTGGTGTTCCCCAGGGGTCTGTGTTGGGTCCAGTCCTGTTTAACATCCTTATTGATGATTTAGATGAGGGGATTGAGTCCATCATCAGCAAATTTGCTGATGACACCAAACTGGGAGGGAGTGTCGACCTGCTGGAAGGCAGCAGGGCTCTGCAGAGGGATCTGGATAGACTTGAGAGATGGGCTGATTCCAATGGGATGAAGTTCAATAAAGCCAAGTGCCGGGTCCTGCACTTTGGCCACAACAACCCCCTGCAGCGCTACAGGCTGGGCACAGAGTGGCTGGAAAGCAGCCAGGCAGACAGGGACCTGGGGGTACTAATTGACAGGAAGCTCAACATGAGCCAACAGTGTGCCCAGGTGGCCAAGAAGGCCAATGGGATCTTGTCCTGTATCAAAAATAGCGTGGCCAGCAGGAGTAGGGAAGTGATCCTTCCCCTGTACTCTGCGTTGGTGAGGCCACACCTTGAGTATTGTGTTCAGTTCTGGGCCCCTCAGTTCAGAAAGGATATTGAGGTGCTGGAGCGGGTCCAGAGAAGAGCAACAAGGCTGGTGAAGGGACTGGCGCATAAGTCCTATGGGGAGAGGCTGAGGGAGCTGGGGTTGTTTAGCCTGGAGAAGAGGAGGCTCAGAGGTGACCTCATCACAGTCTATAACTACCTGAAGGGAAGTTCTAACCAGGTGGGGGTTGGTCTCTTCTCTCAGGCACTCAGCAATAGGACAAGGGGGCACGGGCTTAAGCTCCGCCAGGGGAAATTTAAGTTGGATATCAGGAGCAAATTCTTTACAGAGAGAGTAATCAGGCATTGGAATGGGCTGCCCAGAGAGGTGGTGGATTCACCATCCCTGGAGATTTTTAAACGCAGATTGGACGTGGCACTGAGTGCCATGATCTAATAAATGGACTGGATTTGGACCAAGGGTTGGACTCGATGATCTCGGAGGTCTTTTCTAACCCAGTCGATTCTATGATTCTATTCTATGATTCTATGATTCTATGAATCCCTGCGAATGCCTGTTAATCCCTTCTTTCCCTGCAGAGAGCTCAGCCGCTGCCAGAGCCCCAGATCTGTCTGACATGGTGGAAATCCTGATTTAAGGCCCCTCTGCCCTTCCTGCCGGCACCTCGGGATGGAGAAGCCTGTGGGAAGGGGAGGCCGAGCCTGGAGCTCAGCGGTGTCCCCGCGGCCCGTCCCGGCAGTGACCCCCGTGCGTGGGAGGGTCCCTGTCCCCCCTCGGTGCCCACACGGGTCCCCGGCTGCGCGGGGCGTGCTGGACCCCGGGGACCCCGCGGTGGCAGCTTAAAATACACCTCGTCAGCTCCATCCCCATCCCGGCTCCATCCGCATCCCAGCTCCCACCTCTGGGTCTTGGCCATCTGCACAGGAAAATCCCTCCCTGTTCGCCCGAACTGTTCCCACAAGCCGATGTCTCTGCACGAGGGCAGAGCCAGGAGAGGGGATCCTTGTCCTCCATGGGTCCCACCGACCACCCGGATCCACGCGGCCAAGCCAAGAGCCAGGAGCCCCAGACTTCCATCACCTGCATCCTGCCTCTGGGGTTCATGACAGGGTGACAGTGAAACAAAACATGATCATGGAGGGAGTGAAAGGTGTAGGAGAAAGCAGAGGTGCAGGGCTCTGTGGGAAGCGAGGATGCTGAAGGAGGCAGTGGGATGTGCCACCCCTCTCCTGCCTGCATCCCCTGGCTACTGGCAGCTGGCTTTGCCCGTAGCCAGCATCGACATCCAGCTCCTTAGAGCCTCCCATCCTTGCCCTTCATGTATATATATATTTTTTCTCTATTTCTTCCTCCTTTCAACGTGTGCATTTGCTGGCCAACTGCATTTTTTATTTTTCTCTCCCCAGACACGTAAAAAATGCGTTCGGTTCTTGTGCATTGTTTACAAAGTGGAAAAGAAACAAAAAGTTATGAAAGAGGAGAAAAAAAAAACAAACAAGCCCCCACAACTTAATATATTTTATATTAATATTGGTATTTCTTTTTAAGTATTTTTTTTGTGCTGTGAACTTTTTTTCCTGCCAAAGATGACAAGTTCTCGTTTGTGCGTTTTAAGTTATCTTTAAGTATTTAAACGTAAACCTGGCTGTTTCGTTACGCCGCCCTATACCGAGATTGCTGTAGCATTCCACTTGGTATAATGATATTTTAATAAAAAAACCCAAATATTGACCCCTGGATACTCTTTTTTTCCATGCGACGGGGAGAGATGGAGGCTCCGGCTGGGGAAAGGGGGTCTGGGGGTGGTGACCCCCCGGTTCAAATGTCCTTCCCAGCTCTCCAAGAAGAGGTTTGGGGTGAAGCTGCTTGGGAGAGGGGAAAAAATCCTCAGGAGCATGTCTGTGTTTCCCAAAATCCCATTGGGATCCCATTCCCCCCATCCTTCTTGGGGAAAAGATGGAGTTGCCAAGAAATGTCGATGTAGTTTCCTTCCTGCCCTTGCATCCCTGCATCCCTGTGTTCTTGACTCCTGCATCCCTGTGACCCTGCATCCCTGTGTCCTCAGTCCTGGTATTTCTGCATCCCCTATCTCCCTCCTGATGAGATCCTCCTCCTCTTCCTCACAAGACCCCTTCCTGCTCTCCTAATGCTCCACCATGGATCTCCCTGAAGGCCAGGACTTCCAGCATGGCTGGCCCTGGTCCCCACGCTTTCCCTGGCTTTGTCAGCCACCTCCAAGCCCTTCCCACCCCAGCTGGCTCCTGGATCTTCCAGAAGACCAGAAGTTCTCCAGGTGTTGGACTTTCATTTTTAACAGGTGTGTCATTAGTACTTCCCAGGGAGCATCCCTGGGGACTCTGCCATCTCCAGCCAGGCCGGAACTTTCCCTCTGTGCATCCTTTGGCAATGACTGGCAGCTCATCTTTGTTATCCCGCTGTCCCTGGGGACCAGGAGTTCTTGTGCAAGTCTCTCTGCAATAGCTTGGATTCTGTGGAACAATGGCATCAGAAACCAGCTTTGTTGCCAACTCCTCCCTGGAACTATGGAACCATGGAATCGTTTAGGTTGGAAAAGCACCTTAAGATCATCAAGTCCAACCATTAACCCAGCACTGCCAAGGCCACCACTAACCCATGTCCACAAATGCCACATCTACATGTGTTTGAACACTTGCAGAGATGGTGATTCAGGCACTTCCATGGGCAGGATCCCTTAGGGCTCCGTTCTTGGTGGGACAGCGATGCTGAATGCCACCTCAGCTCTACCCTTCCCACTCAGGAATCTGGAAGGAGCATGGCTGAAAAATGAGAATTTGGGGCTTCCTGTGGCCGTGGGACAGGTCTCCATCCCTGAGGAGCAGGTTAGAAACACTTGGAACAGTGGGAAGCTCAGAGCCGGGCTCCTCCTTCCACCCATGGCTTGTCCTGGGTGTTGCAAGCAGGGAAACAAAAGCTCCCCCCATGCAAAAGGCTGAAAGGGACCCTGAAACGGGGCCAGCGATGGGAAGAACTGGGTGGGAACTCACAGGGAGCTGTTGAGGCTGGGAATATGTCCGGGGGTCCTGGCAGCCGCTGGCCAGGGCCGTACCTACCCTGCCTCCCCCAGCTCCTGCCACCCCGGAGCTGCAGCAGCCGCCTGGGAAGGCCGGCAGCATTCCTGGCATTCCACAGCTCTCACACCCCACGCTTTATTTACCCGAATCCGGATGCAGAGCGGCCCGACTGCAGGTCTGGCTGTTTGCAGGCAGCTTTCCACGTCCAGGGATTCAGGGAACGGGCTCCTGTTGGGAGATTTGCTCCCTGTTTGGCCACTGACCCCCATCCCCAGGACTTTCACAGTCTCCAGGAGTCAGAAAAAACTCCAAAGCCCCTCTGTGCATGCAGGAATTGGGCTGTGGGGAGAGGATTCCCAAGCCCAGCAGGTTGGGCAGGAGGTCCCAGCTCCTCCTGCCACACTTCCCGAGGAGCCGAGTGCTTTGGTAGGGATGCTCTTCAGCCAGAGCAACATCCCAAAGGAGCTGCACACCTTGGCAAATGGAGGCTGCTGTGGGGGTGTGTTATCACCTGCTCCATCGCTCCGTCCTCACAGGCATTTCCTTCTGCCCTTCCCACACCCTCTCGCTGGGTTTCATCACTGGCATCACTTGGACCCACTGTCCTTTATCCCATGAGGATCCAGGACATGTCCCTGTCACCATAGCATGGCTGAAATGGTGTGTGGGAGCCAAGCCTCCTGCTCTCATCCCTGTGTCTGTGATCTCTGACTCCCTGATCCTTGCATCTCTATGTCCCCGATCCTTTCATTCCTGTGTCCCTGCATCTCTGTATCCCTCTGTCTCTGTGTCCCCGTGTCCTTGATCTCTGCATCCTTGCATCCTTGTATCCCTGTATCCTTGTGTCCTTGCGCCCATGTCCTTGATCTCTACATCCCTGTATCCCTGCATTCTCGCACCCCTGCATCCCTTATCTCAGTCCTTGCATCTCTGTCCCCGGGGTTCCCCATGCCCTGAGAGGTGGTGGTGGAGTTGCCTGAGGAGTTGCTGGCTGGGCTGGCACCTGGATGCGACTCCTCCTCTGGGCTGCACATCCACAGCCCTGGAGAGATGGAAAAGGGCCAGCGGGCTCTGCTCCGAGTGCCACCACTGTCACCTTGGTGGCCCTGGGAGAGACGCCCTGTCTTGGAGCAGCAGCAGAGAGATGGCTCGGCTGGTCCAGGTGCTGTTCAGGGTCTGGTCCCTCCATGGTCACAGTGGGACAGGACAAGGCCAAGAATCTCTTTGGGGCTCCTCGGCCATCCACCAAGCCCCATTCCCAGCCAGGAACACCTTGTCCCCCAGTGCCACACCACAGCACCATCTCTGCAGCTTTGGTTCCTGCGTTTCCTCATTTCTCTTTGGAGAAAGTTGAAGCTTGGTCCTTGGAGCACCCTTGGATCTTGGTGGCTCCTTCATTGGCCCTGGTTCCTCATCATCCGCTCCTCATGCATCCTCTCTCTTTTCCCACTTGCCAAATGCTAGGGCTGGATGGGGAAAGACAAGCTTGTCACACCCTCATTCCTATGGAAAACTCTCTTAAAACTGAAAAATCCCCACCAGGATTTGGGAGAAAAGGAATTTCACTCCCCTTCCAAATAGTCCCAATCCTCGTGGGAGAAGTCTGGCAAGGCTGTGGGCCAGCCCTGCAGCTGCTTCCCAGCAAACCAGTCGGGCAAACCGGGTGCTTTCTCTTGCCTCAAGTCCTGACTTGCTCGTTGGACTGGCAGGAATGAAGCTGTCCCTGCTGGGCCTGCTGAACCTTTCCCTTCCCCCTCCCTCCCTCATTCCACCCCATTCCAGGGGGTCCCCGAGGTCTCCAGCTCCTCTCTGTGCCCGGAGCTTTTTGGGAGGTTCCCCCCCTGCCAGGCTTTCTTCTGCCAGAGGGTCAACGCTCCCTTCCTGAATTCCTTGCACTGGTCCTTGTTTGCATCCCGTTGCAGAATGAGCCACTCCAAGGTGTCCCCTCCCTGCAGGGCATCAGTGTGTCTTGATCTTTGCACTCCCATGACCCTGCATCCATGTGTCCTCGATCTCTGCAACCCTGTGTCCTCAATCCTTGCATCCCTGTCCTCCTGGCTTCCCATGTCCCTAAGAAGGGGTGGCTGGAGATGCCTGCCAAGCATCCAAGCTGCCTGTGTGGCAGGGATGGGACCAAGGGATGGGGATTGTTCTGTTATTTAGGAGGTGGCTGGGACACCCTCCTGGACGTTCCATCCACCCAGCCACGGGGCATCATCCAGCTTGGGAGCTCCATCCCCATCCTCCCCAGCCCCAGGTCCTCCTGAAGCCCTTCATGGAGAGGGGGTGAGCACCATCCAGGTGTTGTGGCCCAGGGCTGCCCAGCTCCTGCCCTCCCAGCCAGGATCACTGCCCAGGCTTTGCTGGGCTCAGCACAAGCGGTCGGACCCGTGGTGCGAGCGCGGCGAATTCCTCATTCCTCTTCCCTGCACTGTGCTCCCTGCCTGCCATCTTTGCATGCAAACAGTAAACAGGCTGTTATTATCCTGGATGCTTTGAATAACTGTGGCTATTTTTTCTCTTCCCAGTATTCTAAAAAGGCAAAAAATTCCCTGCGGTTTCTGAGTCAACTTTTTTTTTCCTCAGTCTCTTTTCTTTCCTTCCCACCACCTCTGTGACCTTGAAAGCCCAGGCGGATGAGCTCTGGCTGTCTCTGCTCACACCCTCTCCCCGGCTGTGCTCCTGCTGCTGCTCTCTCCTCTCCTTGTGGCTGGAAACGGGGGAATCTGGGGCTGAGCCTGGTGGTGGAGCAGCCCTGGGCTGGCAGTGGTGGGCAGGATCTGGCCTGTAGCCTCCCCTGGCTGAGAAGTTGGGGATGTTCAAGGAGCTGGGGATGCTCAAGGTGGCCAGGGATGCTGCAGGAGGGAGGCACTGGGGATGCTGGAGGTGGCTGTGGATTCTTGAGGCACTGGGGATTCTCAAGGGATGCTGGGGGAGGGTGATGATGCTGAAAGTGCTGGGGGTGCTGGGGGTGCTCAAGGAGGTGGGGGATGCTGGAGGAGGTGCTGGAGATGCTCAACGGGGACAGGGATCCTGGGGGAGGCTGAGGATGCTGGAGGCACTGCTACCGGAAATGCCTGAGATGCTGGTGGTGCTGGAGGAGCTGGGGGTGCTGGAGGTTCTGGGGATGATCCAAGAGGCTGGAGGTGCTTGAGGAGGTTGTGGATGCTCAAGGATTCTGGAGATCCTTGAGGTGCTGGGGATGCTCGAGGTGGCTGGGGATGTAGAAGGTACTGAGGATGCTGGAGATGCAGGGGATGCTGGGGTAGTTTGAGGCACTGGGGGTGCAGCTCACACAGGCAGCTGGGGCAGGGGCACGGGATGCTGCCTGTGCTCCTCACTTTGCACCCCCAGGGCTTGGAAGGTGTGTGTCCAGGGACGATGAAGGCAGCTGGGAGCTGAGGGAGGCATGAGAACAACTGGACCATCCAGCCCTGGTAGGCAGCTGGTGTTCCCTGGTTCGCTCCACGTGTCCCCTGGCAGGGCCGAGACTCCTTCCTCCCCTTTCCTGCCCCCTCACCCTCGCCCTGAAAGCCTTCCCCAGAGCAGGGCCCTTGGGCTGGCACATGGTGGGCAGGGCCCAGGCAGAGCAGGGATGTGGCTGAAAGCCCCTCTCCAGCCCAGGGTTCAGTGCCTGCAGGTCTCCAGGAGGTCAGAACCGGTGGCTTGGAATGGATCAGGGCTCTCGACTGGGAGGGTTTGCTGCTGTGTGGGGGTGATGTTTTTTTGGGAATGACCCCCATGTTCAGCTGCATCCCTGCCTGCTGCAGGAGGAGATGCCTGAGGGGGTAGCTCCACTTTCAGCCCCAGGTTGTATCATCTCAGCAAAATTTTTGGGATGCTTCAGATGCTTCAGCAGCCAAGGAGAGATGGTGAGTCCATAGGTGAGGAAGAGGAGGCCAGTGCCAGCTGGGATGTGGAGGATGGTCAATGAGCAGCTGATGAATTCATCCTTGTGCTGTTTCTCCATGGAAAAACCAGTGCTGGGCTTCTGCAGGGGGGTCTGTCAGTGCTGGGAAGGCACCAGGATAAGAAGGGAAGGGAAGGGATTGAGCATACCACTAGAGCAGGGTTTTTTGTGTTTTGTTTTGTTTTGTTGTTTTTTTTTTTTTAGTTGCTAGCTGCGTTTTGCTGCAGCAGGAAAATTTGAGAGGTTTGTGGCAGGTCCTGGCACACGGGGCTGGATCTGGCATGGAGCAAAGGGCAAATCCCCAGGGCAATGAGCCACATCCTACCACAGGGTGCTGCAACATGCTCTGGCCAAGTACCTGGCGGGAGCCAGGGATTAATAATCTGGATGGAGAAAAACTGTGGTCATTAGAAGCTCATTTGGAAGCAAAGGGGCTTGGAAAGGACATGAGGCTCTCGGCACTTCCTCAGCTGGACAGGGAAATGACATCCAGCCACAGGGACTGGAGACAGCCAGAGCCATCGCTCCAGGCAGGGAAAGCCTTTACAACCCACCCAACTTCATTCCCCAGGTCTCTCTCTCCCACCACTGAGTCAGTGCACACTAACACTGCTCAGGACATTTCAAGGGAAACTTCAGTTTCAAGTATTTTCCCATTTTTCCCACACAGAAGTGCCTTGGGTTTTTTAGTTTTTTATTTTTCCTTTTTTTTTTTGGTTGTTGTTGTTCTTTAATTAAAAAAACCTGTCTTCTTCCTTCCAGGAAAACTTGGATGTTTGGCCTTTTTGCCCACTGCAGGGGAAACTTTCCATCATGATTTTTCTTTCCTCTCCTCTTTGGAGCTAAAACTCTCCTGAATAAACAAGAATGTGTACTGGTTAATGGAAGAGAAGGGTCCATTTCCCTCTTTCTCAGTTCCTCATGCTTAGGAAAATCACAGAATTACTGAAATTTGGGGAAAACAATTGGATTCAGGCCAAGAGAAAGTTTTAACTCCTGAGGCTTGAAATTTTATGTGTTCCAGGTTTCCTTGAAATTTTTCACTGTGCGGGAGGGGGAGGGAGAGAATCACTTTCCTTGAATTTCCTAATTCTTCATTCGAGAAAGGTGGAGAATAAAAAATTCCAAGTTTCAGGGAGAAAAACACAAACAGCAAGAGGCAGAATGTGAATTTTGGCCTCGATGGAAAATGACACAGGCTGGAAAATATTCCCACCCGCATTTTACAGCCTTAAAGTGCGATCCTTTTATTTTTTTCCCCCCTTGCATAGAGTCCAGCATGAAGTAACACTATCCAGCCTCGCGATCCCATGGCATGTCCCAGGAATTCGTAAGCAATGTTGTATTTGCCGAGTAAACAGGGGTCGGGACAGAGGGTAGGTCAGGGCCACGTGTGTCCAGAGCCACTGGAGAGCAGCTCCTGCCACTTTCGGGAAGGGAGGGCAAGCCCCCACCACCCTGACTGGCCGTCCTGGAACTCCAGGCATGTCTTGGATCCACCAAAAGTTTGGGAGTGTGTTTCCAAGGCAACCAAAACATATTTTTTTTTCCAGCTGTCTAAAAAAAAAAAAAAAAAAAGTGAAATTAGGGGAAAAAAAAAAAAAGGAAAATAAATGGAACCAAAGGAGGAAATTCTAAGAAAATGAAATCAGACGGAAAACTGGCAGGCAGGTCCCTTTCTCCAGCCCTCCCTGAGGAATGTTGGATGGACATAGGCAGGGAAGATGCTCATGGTTGTTTCTGAGCACACCAGGGCTGCCCTGGACAGCCAGGGCTATTCCTGAGCTGCTGTCCCATGCCCAGACCAGGAGCGGCTCCATCCCGGAATAGAGGCACCATGGAGACGTTATCCCATTGTGGATATTTTGGGCTGTGTCCCTGTAGAGTTAAATGTGTCTCCAGCACCCCGGAGGCTCCATCCCTGCAGCCCAAACCCATCTTGCTCCTGCCCAAAAGCCCGAATATTTTGATCCTTGCTCCATTTCCATCCATTTTTCTCCCCACCTTCCTTGGCTTTATGGCTGCTCAACCAGCAGTGTTGCTTTTCTTCCCCACGTTCAGCTGGCTGTGAGGCTGAGCAGTGTGTGGAGCCCTCCTGGTTCGGGAATGCCCATGGATCAGAACCGCTCAGCACACCAGTGCAGGGCTCACCGGCAAGTCAGGATGACTGGATTGCAAATCCCAGGAATTTTTTTGCACTCTGCTTTCTTGTTTGTGGCTGCTTGCAGGGCCTAATCCCCGCTGTCCTCCTCTTCTATGCTAGGCATTTGCTGGCAGCGCTGCCAGGAGAGCTCCAAGCCTACAGTGATTCCCTGCCCTGCCAGGGAGCTGCATCCAGGAGAGTGTGAGGGAAGCTGGGCAGACAATGCAGGAGAGTCCACTCTGGCTTTGCAAGGTCCAGAAGGGAGAACCCATGGAAAAGAGGGACAGGTGTGCCATGGCTGCGGCCGAGCTCAGGAGGCAGCTGGTGGCTTTGTGGGCAGAGGAACAGGAGGGAGGGGGAATGGATGGTTCCCTCAGGACTGTGGCACCACGGGCTGGCCTGGGAGGCTGAGCTTGGAGAAAGCTTGGAGAAAGCAAGACAGACACCACATCACACCACCTTCCTCTTGCTTCCAGGCAGGAGAACCAGTCCCAACCTTCCCAAACCACATGCTCTTCATGCTCCACCAAACACCATCCCCACTGCTGTGATCCAAAGGCCACCTCCAGTCCATGGTCCATCTCCACTCCCAGTGCCCTAGGAGGTTGGTGGCAGGTGGGAGAGCACTGAAAACAACTCCAAAGCTGGAGCATCTCCAGCTCCACAACCCGTCCTGGCTTCAGCACTGGGGATCCTTGGGGGTAGAACTAGGGATCCACGGCACAAATACTTGAGGATGGAATCCTCAAGGAGCACACAGGTTCCTGTTGTGCTGTGGATCCCACTTGCTGCCTCCACACACACACAGAGCCGAGTGTTGCACAACCAAAGCACAACTGCATCTCCCCAGCTGTCACATCTTGCTCGTGGACCAGGGAACAAAATCCTGGGATGACAAAGCAGGAGCATGCCAGGGTGAGCTCTACCACCATAAAGCAGCCTGGAGAAGACAGGGTTTCAGAGTCACCTTACTGTGTAGCCTTCCAGTGCCTAAAGGGGCACCAGGGTTAGATGGGTTATTGGGAAGCAATTCCTCCCTGTGAAGGTGGTGAGGCCCTGACACAGGTTGCCCAGAGAAGCTGTGGCAACCTGGAAGTGTCCAAGGCCGTACTAGATGGGTCTTGAAGAAACCTGATCTAGTGGAAGGTGTCTCTGCCCATGGCAGGGGGTTGGAATGAGGTGAGCTTTAAAGTCCCTTCCAACCCAGACCACTCTGAAACTCTGTGATTCCCTCCTGCAGACAAGACTCTGCCGGGTCACCCTGGATGCTCCCCGGCCTTGACTTTCAGAGCATGACTGGAAAGCGCTGGCTGGCCCCGACGTGCCGAGGCAGGCGCTGCCTCTTCCTGCAGGTTCTGCTTTGCCTTTGTGCAACCCCTGGAGCCTTTCCAGATGCTGGGGCAGGTAGGGAGGTGTGGGAGCCTGCGCCGCTGAGCCACCCGGGAATGCTGCCGGGTCAGCCCGTGGTCCCTCACCACGGCTTTGCTGCTGAGCCCCGTTCCCGGCACAGCAGGGCAGGAGGGTCCCACCGCACTCATCCCCTCCCCAGGAGCAGAACCAACGTGGATTTTGGGATACTTTATTTCATTTTATCTTGCTCTTGAAGCACAGTTTCCCAGGGGTTGGGGAAAAGTCTCCTCTTGCGTTCAGACACTGTGCAAAGATTCCACAAATGCTTTCAAAACTCCCCAACTTTCTCAGCTTCCCTGGTATCTGGGGGTTTTACCATCCTCCAAAACCTGTGGAATGAGCAGCATTTCCCGGTGTTGAAACGCTGACGTAACAGGGTGGTGAATCAGTGGGGATCTTTCTGCCCAAACCGTGTTGGATCACTGTTATTGCTGAAGTTTTGCTATTTTAATCCATAAAGCCCCATACTATCCAGTCGGAGTAAATGGTAACTCCACCGTATCCAATTTCAAACCTAGGAACTGGTGAGAACTGTATTAATGCAAAACTATTCTGGTTCCTGAGCCCCTGCTTCAAACAGCCTGGATGCCCTGTGGTAATCCAAGCAGTGTGTAACATTATAAAGCGTATAAATAGCCCTGGCTGGGTGTGTCTGAGGGGCAGGGGGAATTGGAGCACCAGTGTTTGCCTTGGAAAGATGAGCTGAAAACCAGTGATGGGCCTGGGGCTCAAATTCACACTCAGTCCTGGTTCTTGCCACGTTACAGACACTGAAGCAGGTCAGCTTTGCTCAATTCCTTCAGCCTGCACAGCCTTTTCTGGGTCTCTGACACTCACCAAAGTGGGTCCCTAACTGGGTGCTGGGTCCCTAACTGCTGGTCCCACTTCCCTGCTGCACTCCAAGGATGGTTTGCCTTCCCCGGATTTAGAGCTGCCCGCTGCCCTGAATCCAACTCCTCACCCAGCAGCAGCCTTGTGTTCTCCCAGCTTTTCCAAGAACATGCTGACGTCGCTGCAGATTGAGGGGCAGAGGCCACGGAGCCACCAAAACAAGGACAAGCGAGTCCCCAGATGCCACGGCCTTACGTGGGGAGATCCTTGGATGTGATGGGGGAGCACAGCAGCCCTTAGGTTTCCGCAACCTTGCCACCGGAGGGCCGAGTCCCGCTCGGATCCCGGCGTCCCCCTCCTCCAGGGTGAATGAACTCCAGCGCTGGAGTTTGGAGCGGACACTATGTCCACATTCTTCAGCTCAGGGCCCGGAATGTCAGTTCCTGTCCCGACGCCAGGGGCTTGCATTCCTCCCCGATGCTGCTCCCAAAAAATGCCAGCCCAGAAGGGTGCCGGGGAGAGGTGCCGCTCGGTCCGGGGGATGAGGGGAGACGTGCTAAGCCCGCAGAAAAGCCCTTCCCGAGTTGGCAGAGCCGGGCAGGGTTAGCCTGTGTGTGCTGGGGTGTGTTTACTAAACACTGCTCCCGGAGAGAGGGAATGGCTGGAATTCAGCCCCTCGCTCCCCACCAGACCCCAAGGACACGCAGGCGGACCAGGGGAATTCGCTCCTCCAGCCTGCTGCCATGGCTGCATATTTCTGAGACCCAAGCAGCAAAAAAAATAAAAGAAGAAAATCAAAACATTTCATTGGGAGGGAAGAAAAATAGGAGGGGAAAAAATGCAGAAGAGTAATGAGAAGGACGAGTGAGTCCAAGAAATGTATTAGATCATCCTTAGAAACTGGTGTCTGAGGAGTTCTCTGTAGCTCAGGCTGTTCCAATATTTATTGTGTGTTATTTAAACCATGACTCCTGGCACCAGCTGGGGCTCCACGGCTCTGCATGCTGCTCGGGAACGTTGGGAAAAGCTGGTCCTGGGCTCCAGGACTGCTTGACAGGGGCTGAAAGAAAACATCCCTGTTGGGGTCCTGGGCTCCAGGACAGCTTGAGAAGTGCTGGAAGCAAAACATCTCTGTTGGCTGCAGCCTGCTCCAGATGAGCTGCTGGCAGGATGGCAGCACGGCTGTATCCTGCGAGCAGGACCCAGTGTGGAGCTGGCCAATGGCAGTGTGGGATATAAACTTGTAGTTTATAGGATCAAATCCTTGGAGGGGCTGAGTGAGGACAGGCCAGGGCTGGCTCCAGCATGAGAACAGAGCTCCCTGAGCGAGGGTGAGATGCACACCTGCAGGCAGGGATCCTGGATCCTCTGATCCTGGAGGGATTTGTTGATATCGGTGTGCTAGGTATTTAAAGTCACTCCGTGGGCAGTTCTTTATGAGCAGGCTTCAGCACGCAGATTGTGAGGCAATTTGTGTGCTTCATGTCTGTGA